ATGGTATGTAATGAATTCACCATTTTGTAGACTTTTCACTGAACAAATAGGACTCCGTTGTAAATAATTTGTGTTATTTCATTTTGTCCTAGCTTGTAATAATGTTTCTTACTTTTGTATGAATTGGTATTTCCGTTGAAGAAATAAATAAAGATCTCTATTGACTCAATCGAAAAGGGAAATTGCCTAGCGCATACAGTACGCTGTGTGGCGTCACCAAAATGATAACATTCTTTTGCGGCTTAGATAAGCCTCCAAAAAGCTATTCATTATCCCTAAACCACAAAGGTACGGATTGTGCGTATCAAACCACAACACTTTTTAATTAAACCAAGCGTTAACCATGATTAAAAGACATCGAATGGACCCGTTAGGAATAGAATCCACAGGTGAACGAGTCAGCTAGAAAAATTGAGCACAAGAAGCTAGTTCGATCTGCAGGTTGGTTTTCAATCCTTATTACATTAACCCTCTTCTTTACAAAACTTTCCAAAAGAAGAGATCACCCGCGACAAATAACTTCGTAAAACTTGTCTCGGAACTAAAATCCTTCTTGACCAAAGTATCTCAACTGGGGGATTCAAGAGGAAGCTGAAGATGCGTTGAATTAAATGACGTGCGTCGGAAATATGTGACCTGCAAGTTCGACACGGTTTGGTAAAGTTTATATGTGGGCGAGTTGTTTTCGTTATTCTTTGCCCATCCTGACGGAAACCCGCAAAACTTTAAGTTGAACACGAGCTGACCATAACAACCGGTTTTTACAAATAATTTCCTTTATTTCGCAATTAAAAATTCCACCCCCAGTTTTTAGTTAATTGTCCTAGTCGAAAAATACGGTAGACCTTTGGAAATGGGAAACGAACAACTGTGGCAATTTGGTTTAAGAAACGAAGCGAGGAAATCGCGAAACAAAAGATTTGTTTTGCATACTCTTTGAGTGGATAGAAGAGGCTTAAAATGCGTAGACTTTCAGGATACGAAACAAAGTTAGTCTTTTATACCGAGCGTTGATTTAAACCAGAGGTGTACATGGAAGAGAAACATATTTAACTGCATACCTTGAGTATAATAATTATGTGTTATGGTATACTTAATATGCAACATTTATTTAAATTTAAAAAATCACATTAACTCTAGGTCACGGTGTCCCAATATTCCTATTCTAACGGTACCTAATAATAAATCTACATACTAGGCAAGAGACGTACTTATCAAGATTCAAGATAATATTAATAGCGTTATAAAGTGTATCTTGAATATTTTTGTTTTTCAATGACAGGGAAAGGTCTTGTACGCGCGAAACTATCGATAAATCGCCTCCGTACACATCGCACTTCTTATCAGAAGCCAACGCAATTGCAGATAAAAGCACGTGGTCATACCGAATGAATGCGATTAAATTAGGCGAAACCGTTACCTTACCATTAACTGTTTTTTGACGCTCCGTAGAGTTTCGCTCCTTAAAGGCGCGCAGTTTTAATATTTAAGATAACGTAAAGTAAACAAATATTAACTATTACCTGAACCAATTAACACCGATGTTGCGTTAATCTAAGTTTATTTTTAAACCGTGTCGTTTGTCACTTGTTTTTCGTACAGAGGCGCGCGCGTATGCAAATCCCAAAATCTTTCCAATTCACTAGCAACACACGCGTCCTGTCGCATATATCGGCGCTAGCACAGGCGTCGGGACGCGTCGGACTTTCAACACTGCAACAAGTTAGACGTTAACGAATACGCCACAACCCCGCCGAAATTCGAGTTTGCGCGACATTTTGACCATTAATAAACTCTGTTTTATCGATGTTGTTTTTGAACGAGGATATTTTCGTTTGACATTGAAACAGGACCGACATCTGTAGAGTTTCATTGCAAACATTCGAAAAACTACGTTACTTTACTAATCCTTAAAATCGCTATTTGCTGAACACTGAACCATTCAAAAGGTGGCGCCAGTCGTACTGCGAGAATGCAGACATTCTTGTTTTTTGTATAAGTACGGTATGGTACAGTTTACAATATACTGTTATATAAGTACTTATTCCTTTGTAAGTTTTTACAGAAATTAAAAATGAAATTCGAGAGATCAACAGGTTATGAGCCCAGGTCAGGTTATTAAAATATATATACAGCAAAAGTGCCACATAATTTTTTTTAAAATGATATTCGTAAACATTTTAAATATTCTCATTACATCTCGAAATTGTATCTTCATAATTTTATCGAGTGTAACATAAAATCCCTTTCCACGCTATTGAACGCATTCACTGCGTCAATCTTGACGATTAGATCGGAATAGACACTACAAACAAATTTGAAACAAGTCTATAACACTATTTTCTTGCCAATTGATAATTCCGATTTGAATACCTTCACCTCTGCTCTGTGCTTTTATTTTAAACTCCGTTTTATTTTATATCCTTACGCCATCTAGGTGGTTTGTTGGTTATCCACTAGTTTAGATGTAAATTATTTCTGTAGTAGATTTCTCATTACCTTACTTTCTTATTGCTATAGTTATCAGTGTCGCCGCTTGAGCTCGTGCAGAGCAGAGCACGCACTTCTTGTACGAAGACGAAATTCGAACAATACTTGCAAGAACATGCACGCCATTAGTTACTCGACAATTTTGTCAGACTCTTTGGATGTATTGGGGCTGTATTAACTTTGGTGAAGCATTTACCTTTTGACTTTGAATAATCATTTTTAAGCTTCTTGTTTCTGACTTACTCTTTTCTTTTTTTTATTTTATTTTATCTTGACATTGATATTTTCGAGTGAAAGCCACCGATATTTTGGATTTTCTCAATATTGCGCAAGAAAAATTCATTTGTGAAGGTCCACCGCCATCTCTTCAATCCAAGAACGACGCTATCGCTAGGTACCTATCAACAGAAGTCTATGAAATTAAAAACGTGACACCGCCACTACCTGTTTTTTTGGGAGCTTTAGTTACACGTTTCTGGGAAAGTAAAACAGGTAGGTTTTTGAAAACGTGTACTTAGGAGTTACTCTGAAGGCCGAATCGATGTAAAATATTTTCAAAATGGCCGTGCTTCCGGAAACACCGGAAGTAGACAGTAACTTCGTTATTTTAAATGGCGCATTTTTGGATTCTACGTGAAATTTCAGTTCTTTTGATACCCACATGTCGATATCTGCCATTTATGGTTTTCAAGTTATTTGAACTTTATGAAAAACAAGTTGTAAATCCGCATATGCATAATTAAAGCGCCTTTTTGGTAATAGATGTTAGTATTTTATTAGCGAAGTTTAAAATTATCGATCTCACGAGTAATTTTGTCTGCGTTAAATAATTAATTTTATTTAATTTCAATTGAGGGTACGTCTTTATTTTGTAAAACAAATCACAAAGTAAATAATTAAGATTTTATACTGGTAGCGCTATCTAACGGTAAAATTATAGCACCTCCAAAAACCATATCGAAATTATTTTCTTAAATTGTCGATGTCACAAGTTATCTAACTCAAAATAGACTAGAGCCTGCACATATACACTATAGCAGAAATCTTTTAGTGAAAATTTAAAGTCTCTAGCTATTGTAGTTGCCGGCCAGCCAGCCATAATGAATATAATAGCGTATTTTTTTCAAAAATGCGCTAAAAATCTATCATGTAATCTAAAAATCCCATATGGCGCCTATTTAACTTTAGAAAGTTGGTAAATGTTCCTCAAAATTGCAATCTTGAATTTTTTTATTTGATCATCAATTGTAAATTAAGCTTATCATAGACAATAACTTGTACTTATATAAATCTTTTTTTTATAACTCTTATACTTTCGATTATATAAGACATTCAAGGAAATGCCCAATTTTAGTTTTTTTTTAAGTCAAGCCTATTCGACATTTTGAATTGAATAAGAAAGATACCCATGCAATCCCACGCGATATTGGACACACTGTATATATGCAATAATAACAAAGTTTGAGATGCTGTTCTAATAAGAACACTTGGATATGCATCAAAATACGCCAGACCGTTAATTTTTACTTCTTCTTCTTTTGTAGTGGGCATAGTTTTCACAACAGGTCTGCTTATCTAATATCTTCCCATGGTCAAAAAAATCTTTTTCAATCTAAGAAATTTTTCTTTCGCCATTCTCGTAAGATGTGTAGGTACCTATATAAGTATTTCAAATTAAACGCGTGACATGTTCTGTCAATTATTCTATTATTCTCACTATAAATAACTAGCAAGTCAAAAACAACGCAATGTTGGTCCATAGTGCAAATTGGGCAAATTAATTTGAACACTATTTGACATTTGATTTGAATGACATTTCAAATGAAACGATTGCTTCCAAAGCCCAATGCCACATTTACTGAAAAATAAGAATATTTCTTTCAAAAAATGCCATTAACTCCAAAACTACCGGACATGGGCATAGGCACAGAATTAAAGTGACTCTAAAATTCAAATCTACATTATTTTTGGCATCAGAAATAGTAGTTGCAATTTGAAAAACTGAAGTTTATGATATTTTTGATTACTAATTTTCAAAAATCGCAGCAGCCCTGGAAACCTTTTCATGATTTCGGCGATTCGATTGTAAAAAAAGAGCGCTCACTTGTATCTTGAACGGTTTAACAGATATAAATTTTTGAATGGACCCTTGCGTCTCCAAATGTTTAGTAGGTATTTCAAGAACCATGACAGACAGGTACGCAAATCAATAAAATGTTGCAATTAAAAGAGATAGAAAATGGCATATTTCTATTTTAGAAATCAATATGGCGCCAACTTCTGGTATTTACGGAAGCGGCACCATCTTGGAGATATTTTATTTCGATCCGCAATTGTCGATTGCATAATCAGTACCACAATTCGACAGGACGTGGCAGCACTTAACAGTCATTTAGGTGGAACAACTATACATGAATACACAATGGTATATAAACAATACGAACAATGATATATAAATGCATATGTACGATCGGAATTTATCATAAACCAATTTCTAAACCGCTATCACCATGAACCACATTTTAAGTCAATTTTTAATAGCAGGTCTAATCCATGCTTCCAAAATGCAAATTCTTAACAAAAGTTTGCCGGCAAAGTACTCATTTGACACATACCTTTTTGATCAAACAAGTAGTGATTGCGAATGCGATGAAGAAACGGCGTGCGTCAGAAAGTGTTGTGCCTTAAACTACTTTTGGAGCGAAAAAAGTTGTACCTTTCATGCTGGTACCCAGTTTGACACGGCCGTTTATATTGGTGATCAAAATGTGACAACCTCAAAGAGGTGTTACATTTGGGGGAAATTTCAGTGCGCCGGAGAAGGGTTTTATTTTCGATTAGAGCCCTACAACTATTCCGCCGATGTCTTCTATCCTCAGTATGATGGTAGACTATGGCTTCCAAGTACCAATAAACACTTCCCTGCGAGTGGCTATTGCTTGGATTATTTTGAAGATAATCGCATTTCCGCCCTTGTATGCGAAGATGCAATGCTTAAAACTGAGGCACGAATTAATAGCGTAGGTAAGATAAAAATACTACGCTACGACAACAAAACAAAGCGTTGCTCTTTTAGGTATGATGGTATCACTTCCATTTTTACTGGCCACATTTGTAGTGTACATGCTGCTACCGAACAAAAATCTTCATGCAATGTCTCTAATGTGTTACGCTATTTCATTGTTTGGAGCTTATCTTTGTTTAGTTCTAGCAAAAGAAGTGAGCGGTATTGCTGGTCCGAGTTGCGTAGTGCTAGGTAGGTTACAAAGCCAGGAGCAGTATTTCATTTATTTTGTAGCCACTTCGTGTCTGTATTTCTTCATGAGCTCGTTTCTGTGGATGAATTTATTCTCGTTTACTATTTGGCGATCTTTCGGGTAGATGATATATTGAAAGATATGCAGAAATCAACTTTCTTTGCGCAGGAAACTCTCCAGTGGAAATGCTGCAAGAAACACGTCCAACTATATGCTACTTTATGGGTTGTACACATGGGGCGGCGCATTGCTTTTCGTTGCTGCAATAACGATAATTGACAGACTAACACCACCAGGCCAATGGTACACTCCAGGACTTGGTGACGGTCAGTGCTGGTTTACACGTGAGTTTTAATTGGTAATTTTAATTTGCAAGTGGTCTAAATTTTAGCGGGCTATCCTAGCCTTTTATATTTTTATGGCCCATTGAGCATCATTACTTTGGCCGATGTAGTGTTCTTTACACAAACTGCTTGGAGAATTAAAAATTTGCAACGCGAGATCGCCATATTAAAGAAAAATGGTAATGCGATTAGTGGCAGAAATCGCGAACAACAAACGTAATATTGATTCAATGTTAATATAAAATAGCGGGTCTCTTTACTAATTGCAGGTTTTACTTGTACTTGAAGTTTTTTGTAATAATGGGCATAAACTGGATGACTGAAATAATCTCGTGGATAATCAATTGGCAAGTTGAAGCAGTGCCTTCAGCTGTGTGGATTTTAACCGACTTGATCAACGCACTGTCTGGAGTTTTTATTTTTTTCATATACGCTTATAAGACTTGTACCTGGAAGTTATTGCTACGCAGGTATCTATCTATGTTTGATGTACATGTGTTACGTACTAATTAAGATTTAGATACTCCTCACCAGCAAAAGTGAACGTGCGTTGCCGCTACAAAAACCATACCACAACCACTACTACCACTACCACTGTAGCCATCATTTCTATTACCAAGACAGTCAGCGACGAATAGAGTCAACCGAGTTGTGTATATAAACTTTCGTTATAACAATTAGAATCTGTTTTCATGAAAGAGATGATAAAACATTTAATAGCTCAACCACGGCACGGTAATCAAAGTTCTCCTGCACTTAGTTTAAGATGATGCAGTGTCACTGAAGGAGCCGTTATCAGTTTCACATTTTTTTACTTTTCACTATTTTCCCGTAAAATTCAACGCAAGTTCCGCGAGTTTTACAGTAGAATCAATGAATATCTGGAAGGGGATTAAGGGACTGTGTGATTTATTACACCATAAAGGGAATAATTGTGCAGGACGTTAAAACCGCATTGAGAACGCGCGTTTTCACTTCATAATTTTAGAATCCAGGAAATATATGATTTTAGGATGACAAATTCATGGTAGGTCAAGGACAGATTAATTAAACGCACTGGGTTGTTCTTCGCTACAAAAAAAATCAGTTGTGTTGCCGTTAATGAACAAAAGGGAACTACACTTGATTGTTGGAATACGTACGTAAAATTAGTGCAAGTGCCTCTGAATCTACCGATGCTATATATTTTGTTTATGTACGAGTATGTTGATGGCTGATTTATTGATATTGTTGTTATAGTCCAGGATATATATAGTTTTAGGATGCAACATTCATGGTGGTTCTGGAGATAGGCTTGTTTTATGTTTTCTGTGTCGATAAATCCGAATATTTACAACTTCCCACCAAAAATTTCCCCTGCAAAAACAGTTATTTTGTTTGTTTCAGAGAACAACTATCTGGATATTCGACAAGTAGACAGAATTTGCGACAAAAATATCATATGATTTTTGATGCCCGGCAAGTGGATAGGGCGTTAGCGCATCTCAGAACATGCGCCTTGGCGTCGTACGCATACCGGGACCTCAGACAATAACTGCGTGGTTTTCACGACCTTGCCTGTTTATCGCTGCCCCTCCCCTGTTACATCTTTTACAACAGTCATATTAGTCGAGAATTCTACCCAGTGCGATGTGTCGTGTCATATTTATAGCAACTTAGGGACTGAACGTTTTGAAGCAAAACACATCGCCGGGCGCTCTGAGGGAATGGAATCCCCCCCCCCCCCCGCCCCACTATAGGCCGATATTGTGATAGACCCCCCGCTTTATATTCTTTACCTAAATATGTGGTACCCTTACCACTTATTGCACCATTATTTTTGAAAAGAGTCTTAAGGACTGAACGTTTTGAACCAAAACGCATCAACGGGGGGCATGGAATGCTCCCAGTGCCGATGGTTCTATGATCTGGCTTTCTGGGGGGTATTCCCAACCCCCCAGACCCCCCGGTTCTATATTCTTCACCAAAATGTCTAGTATTTTGACCAGTTACACCATAATTTTTGGAAAAGGTTTTAAGAGTACACTGAATATCTCTTTTTTTTTCAAAGTTATATTTTTTCAATATGTATAAATGTGTTCTTAATTCTCAACTTGTCTGAAAATAGGATGAGGAAAAGTTGGAGGTTGAGGGTTGGTTTCCAGACGTTGAAAAATAAAAGAGATACGTGCGTAGTACATCAAAATGTTTTAGGACGTTTTTGGTTGCGTGCTTTATCTATATTTGGTAAAACAAAAAAAACATTTCTTAAAAAAAATTTGCGAAAGTTTAATATGAATGTAGCGAATATTCGAGAAATCCTTATCGAAGTGCCATAAAAGATTACGAACAGGGATGTGGCGCATTCTTTGCGGAAAATATAACGTATTATTATTCCAGAACGTTCTAGAACATTCGAGAGTGTTCGGAAGCATTCGTGAAAGAGTTACGTGTTGACATTTTTCACACATCGCAATTAATCTGCTTTTTAATAGGTGGTTTATTAATGAAGCAACGCAGGTAACAGAGACTGAAACTTAGAAAAAGTGTCTTAGATTAAAATAGGTAGGTATATATAATATATACTATTTAAAACACTTGGTATGAAAAGATAAAGTTTGAATAATTACTTAATTGTTAATTCACAGTTCTCGTAAAATATCTAAGATGATAACAATGGTTTGAAAACATAAAATATGGAAAAAGTGCAATATGCGGGATACCGTTATTTACCGTACTGATTAGGAAATGATATACCGGGATAGCGGGATCCCGCGGGATTTTTGGGACTGAGGAATTTGTCGAGCACGGGGACGACTCTGTTTACTTTGTTAATGAAATGCATAACGGAAAAGTTATTTCTAAAATAATTGTTAAAAATTTACTATGATTTTTGAGGCACTTTAGAAGTTCACCTTTTTTGTGCTTTACAGATGAGGTTTTTTTGAGTTCTAAGTTAGGCTGAAGGTACTGTTTTGTTGAATATTGTGATAATTATCGATTTATTTTAATACAGATGTTAACCGCATAAAATTGCTTATTATGTTTTTAAAATTTTGCGGGATCCTGTAAATACCGGGATCCGCGGGATTAACATCTAACGATCCCGCAAATACCGGGATTGAGATTTTACTGCGGGATTGCATTCCCTAATACTGATAAAGCGTTTGGCGAAAAATAGTTATTTGTACAACTAGTTTTGAAAGTGATACTTTTTTTCATGAGTTTGCAGTTTGTTTGATGAGGGCGAAGTTTACTCTATCTTGAACCGTTTTCATGAAAATCATACTTCGAAGAGAAATTTCACAGTACGAAAAAAGAGTTTTGAGTGATAAGTATTACAAATTTCAAAACTTTTGTCTTTAGGGGATAGAACAACTCATTTGAAACATACTTTGCCATTACAGTTTTTCTTGTAACTAATCAAATAAACGCGTAAATAGAGAAAAACATACAAAACGCCTATCTCAGCAATACAAATAAGGTATTCAGTGACGTCATGCGCACGACGGACGAAAAATGAAACATGGGAGCATCCGGCACTGGTAAGTAGGAACATAGTGGTTTAACATGGGAAATTAGTTTTATGCAATATCCTGCCCTCCTGTACATTTTACAGAAAAAAACTAGTGTTTAAAGTTGTTCAGAATTAAAAGGTGCATATATGTCATAGGCAAATAGTTATTTCAGGCAAATGGCATTTTCCCGGGCAAATGCTATCTGCCTGGACAAATGACTTCATCAAAATAAGTCAGCCTAGGAAAATAGCATTTGCCGAATCCGTTGTTGGGCAAATGACTTTTAATACCTATATTGAATGAACGAGTTGTGTATCTTCATCGGTGGTTTTCTATTATTGTATTGTTATTTCGTGAGTTTCAAGACCAGGTAAGTGAAGCATTCCATTCTTAATTTTTTATTTAAATTATAATTTTGTGTTACCAGAAAGATGTTTTTATTTTTACGCAGGTAAACTTACCCCGAATTTTCCGTACCCATCATTAATAAACCTTTTTTTTTGGTTAAAAAAGTGGATCGATCTTATTGATATTAAAATTTCCATTTGCCTAAAATCGGCTTAGGCAAATGGTATTTGATTGGTCAAATACCATTTGATTTGCCTAGTCGAATGGCATTTAAAAACTAAAAAGAACCTTTTGCCCAGGCAGATAGCATTTGCGCGGGAAAATGCCATTTTCCTAAAATAACTATTTGCCTACGACACATACAAAACTGTTTGTCCATGTTTTATTAACCTTTTGCTATACCCGCAAATTTAAAAATAAATTTCAACATTTCTGTTATTAGTACCAATTCTGTTTTATGAATTACAAAGTGTGCACCTACGTTTCTTCGGTAATTTTTATTCGCGGCAGCAGGAAATGTTCAAAATATTTGTGCATGACCAGATATGTATCTACTTTTTAATAGCAACCGCCCCAAAATTCTATCTTAAGAAAATTATTTCTGTTTGCGAGTGCGATAGGTATTTTACTTATCTATTTATCGAAGGAAAGTACTACGCATTTTTATGTAACTTGAACCGAAAGGTAATTTCATTTAATTCGTGACTAATTTTTGAACATTCAAGACATGTAAAAAGGCAATACAACGAAATCTGTTAGTGTGTACTACATTGTATTAATAGGAGGCCGTGTTCTAGCCTTTTGACTAGTAATTAAAATATCTCTGCATCGGACTTTCTAGCTAGATTAGCTAAATCCGAGGCTAAATCTCTCAGTACAAACAAAAGCGAAATTTTGTTGGTATGCTTAAATCTAAAGAAATTCTGTAACAAGCGTTTCTGTATATCAGTTTTCTATAGAAGAAATTGTAAAATACTTTAAATCATATTCCAATTTCGTTCGCTCTCCGCAACAGTTTTTTTGGAGTGCTACACAGCGGCTAAAGCAGCGTGTCATAGGATACAATAATTAATACATGCAATAAACTGGTAAAATACTACAATATTGTAACTAATTAATTTATAAATTCTGCCACTTACTTGGTTCTTTTGATACACCTCCGTAACACACACAATCACGAAATAATACATTACCGACAGGGAGTCGTAGTTAAATCATACCGCCGTTACATTTCAAAATGATAATGATTCATTTGGCCTTCATGCAATTGCATACAATTGAAACAAACTTGTAAACACGCGCAGATTTTGAAAGTTTGATAAGATGCCTACTCACGTCATTAAAAATAATGATGCGATCGAGAATTCTTACGGTACCTTCTTTTTAATAAAACAAATCCAAAAATGTACGTAACACAACCACTGTAATGTTAATGGTAACTCAAGATGTTACTCTTAGAACCTCGCTTAGAACGTTCGCACGAAGAAATGTTCAGTTAAAATTTTATTGTTTTCGAGTTCTTGAGTTATTGGGCCCTTTATGGGAGCAACTGGATTTTATGCAGAATGAAGAAGTTTATGCTAAATTGAAAGGCTTTTGTTTTATTCTTCAATTTTCATTGACTGTTCCGTTATCCATTTAAGCATACTCAGAGACTAATCTACCCCGGAGAGTCTCCAGAAACCCTGCGAATAAACAAATTTAGAGAATCTGTAAACATAGATCGTTTAGGTGATCTAGTAATTTCCTTAGAAATTCTCTAATTCTTCTGGGGCGCTTCAGAAGTCACTGGGAGATTCTATAGAGGTTTCAATAATTCATTCAAGCTGCGAAAACTAATGCTCGAACATGTATTAATTAGGTATATAATTTTCTGTCACTTTTTTCCCCTTACGTGTTGTCAAAACTAATTTGCTTTATATCGCATTTTTGATTCTCAAAAAGCAGCTTTATTGTTTCACTAACTATCGGCTTTTCGGGCGCCTTTTATAAATCGATCGAGATCTCGGCGACGAAATATCGTAGAACATTCGGGTTTTCGGGATCATACGTGTTATTCCTGCATCGCTTAGTCTGAAAGTTGAAAGCCATTCCTTAAGTTCATGAATTTCCTTTAAATGTGTTAAAATAAGGAAGGAGAATATCATATTGTTTGTGTATGAATGTCAGTTTTTTTCGTTTAATAAAATATGTAGGTGTCCGATCTTATCTAATTCAGGAGTTATTACTAACTATTATTGGCCGCATGCTCAATTTTAACTAAATTGAGTATTCTGAACAGATATTACAGTAAATTTTTACATGTTGAGTCTCAAAATGTCACGGGCTTCAAACCAAATTTTTCAAATTGAAAAGCCGATAGAATTTGCTGTACAGGCACGAAGTGGGGTTTAAGCATCTAGTAAATGAAACACCTGTTGAGGTAGCCTCAATTTACGTCGACTCAGTATGCATATTTTCTGACGAACTTGAAATGCCGAAAACCAATTGGTGTTAGTCATGCTTTGTGATCGATCAGTTTTTGTTTACAATCAAGATGCGAAAACACCCGCCAATTCATGGAGAAATTTGTGTCGTATGAATAAATAAAATGCTTCGATACAGGGAATCGCTGTGTAGTTTGTATCGCCAATTGAATTCGATTCGCTTGATGTGAATCGATAAAAAAGTACGTACGGATAATTATGGACACGGCACACAAGATGAGCACCATTAGCTGGGCGATTCCGGATTTTTAGTTGGAATCCCCCAACCCAACCCAAAAAGTCCTAGGAAGAGCTTAGAGTCCCTTGGGTTTCTAGTAACCTTTTAAGGAAGGCTAGACATCGTTGAATGGAGATTTCAAAGGTCGGCAATATCTCCCGATACGCTCTGGGAAGGTGTTCTGTAGAGGCGACGTAAAGTTCCGCGAAGCGCCTAAAATACTTTTGAGTGGTTTTAACTATACTTTTAAATCCCGTCCAATGCTCTGGAAAGACTCTGTCAAGCGACGGAAAAATCTAGAGAACGCTGGGAAGATTTCAAAAGACTAAAACTTTGAACAAAGTTTACAAAACCTACGCTCTTGGGAAAGTTTTTGTGCGCCTGTACGAGATGCGCACCAGTACTTTCGAATTTATTGTATACCGCAGGAAGCTTTGGAATACGCTAAAGTAGTACCCCAATAGTGTATTAACCCTTAATTATTCCATAATATTTTAGCATTTAATCCTTCTGAGTCATAACCTTAATGCTCATGGGAAAGTTACTACTGTCATTAGAACGACGGAAGAAAATCTAGAGGCTAAACGCTTAGTTTTGGAAGATTTCAAAAGACTAAAACTTTGAACAAAGTTTATGCAACAACCAATGAGTACAAAAACCTCTAAAAGGTTGGCAAGTTGTTCTTGAAAGCTCTGAAACGTGTTTTTGATTGATCTATAACGCCTTTAAATGCTCTGGAAAACGCTTCTAAGATGCTGATAAGAGCACCAGTACTTTCGAGGGTTATTTATTGTATACATAAGTTATTATTTAATTTAGTTAGTGTCTGGTTAGGTACTTATAAATAACCTTCAGGTTATATTGTTTTGCTGTAGCTTTGGAATACGCATGATTTATGGTCCAAGTAGTCCACCCAGTATATATCATGTAGAAATGGTATTAAAATAGATTTTTTACCCTCACTTACCTTTACATTTACCATAATATTGTATTATTGCCTTTACCCTTAATTATTCCATAATATTTTAGCATTTAACTCTGCTCTGTCTTCTTAGTCTTCTGAGTCATAACAATTACTTATGACTTTTGGTATCCATCATAAGATTACCATGGATCTCTAGATAAATTTAAATTGGGCGTTACTCTGTGCTGGGGGATACAGGTGACATCATTACGCTTCTTGAACGTCTATACGGAAGAAAATGTCGTTGTTTAGAAGTATTTTCGTCCATAACAGGCTAAACAGGCTTAGTTTTGAAAACTTCAAGAAAACTTGTCATTTGGAGGTGATTCACTTTATAAGATATACCTCACTACCGACGGCGGACGGAAGTAAATACGATTGAATGCAATGATAACACGCATAGGAATTTATAAAAACTGTAGACAATATGATAATTGAATCTTAAATAAGAAAACACAACTACTATACGAACACATGACCATATTATTATAGGAATAATTTCCACAAAATGTTTTTATCTCTATCCCTGAGACACACAGATCAAATAATGAGAAATGTTTTGTGTTGATCATATTTCTAATTCTAATCTACCGATGGAACAATATTTTCGTAGTATTACACATTTTGATCTCTACAACTTCTATTCACTAATATTGCTAGAAGGTAATAACTAGTTATAAATACATTAACTGCTTAATAAATAAAAAGTCAATTAAAATACTAATTCACAATCATATTCATATATGGTATACAATAATATAATAATGATAAAATAACAGTCTTTTGGCAGATATACAAAAATTTAAAAATCCTAATCACACACTATTCTAAAATACTGATTACTCTGTATTTATATATTTACAATTACGCAAGAGTTAGTAATTGGAAAGTATTCTGAATTTCCAGAAGAACTGGCCTATTGTATATAACTTATAACTGAAATCGAATCACAGTTAACAAGCTTAACGAATTCGAGATTGAAAGTGATTTTCACATTATAGGTGAATACTGACCTTAATCCATGGAAGTTGACGCACACAACGGTTTGTACAAGCACAATAACATCTAATAATAAAATTCGTTAAGAACATGCATATCTAGTATTGAAACATCATTAATAATAAATAAAGTTCGCGCGAAACGTGTTTCTTAAAAAATAATTTACGAAGCTAAAGCGGTCCTTCCACTAGTTGGCGATTGTGCAAATAAAACCCCTTGGTACGTAATACCGTTGAGTTCCATACTAACGACTAAGGAATTGTCTCCACTGCGCGAATCCCCTGCAACAGAGAGAAGGGTCCATTAATCACTCTGATCATTATAACTGTTTATTAGGTAGCAAGGAACGAATGCCAATGTGACGTGGTCTCCTTTTTAAATTGGGAAATTTAAATTAATTATTCCGCGCAGGGAAACGCAAAGATGGGTTTGGAAATAGTCTTGCCTTTCAATTCTTAGTTCTATTTTTATTTATATAAATTCGGAGCGCCCTCACGCTCCATTAAGACACTGGCACTTCTAACGAAACACATTAGGATCATCAAATCTAGATCTTAATTTTTCTTAGATTTATATTTTTGGTTGAAATCATCATTAGTACACTAAGCGTCTAAATAAATTTTCATATTTTTCGAAACGAATTGCGCGATTAGTCCATAAGATTTTAATGGGACTGTGATAAATGTCCTACTTACCTCTACTATTTATTTTTATATGCGTCGTTGCGGGTGTGTGTCTTGATTCGTCGTCGTCCTTTAGAAATTTTTTTGGTGGTGGTGACTCTCTTTCGATTTCTCTTTTGACTATTGGGGACTGCGGGGGTGGTAACGGAAGGTGTGGGGCGGGATCTGACAAGTTCAGGGCTTCTTTCTGTGGTTCGGGTTGTACTTGGTTATTGTTGTATAAGTTCCATAAGGCCATGCGTGACATTTCGAAGGGGTTCAGCGGTGATGTCGCACTTGGTGGTGACGCTTCGCCTTGTCGGGGAGGTGTTGACGCTGCGCTTCTAACTTCCTTGCTGAGCAATTTGACGTACTCCATCATGCGGGCCTCGACTTCACTGGGTGCCAAGCCGGGAATTGGTCCGCCGTTTAGTGGAAGGCCTAAAGGTTGCGGGTGACTTGGGTGATGCGCACCATTGTGCAAACTGATACCGCCACTCATGACCGAATTCATGCGAGCTGTTAACTGCTGATGTTGCGAGACCAGAGACAAAGGAGACATTTGGGATGAAGGAATGGGAGATCTTTGTATACTGTCGTATTGACCGTAACTACTACGCCGACCTTCGCGACGATTGCCATCAATTGCTGCTTGAAGTTCGGCTGGGGTTGAAAGGCGACGTTTTTCACATTCATATGGGTACAGGTACTTCATATACCTAGAAGAAAAGAACATTATATATCTTAAACAAAGGAAAATTCTGCAGTACAGAGTTTGTTTTAATTTAGAATAATAAATTTTGGGTTCTTCTCGGTAAGATAAAATAAACACCAAATTACGATTAATATGCTCATTAGTAAGACTTTCTTTTAACACGTCACGCCATGAAGGCGCTGGCAAAACGTCAAGATATTTAATTCGTTTTGTTTTTTATAGGAAGTCACTTCCTTCATCCTTTAATCGAGCTTTGTTAATCTGAATTATTACCTATACCTATAGCTAATCCAGCAAGGGCGACGGCGACATCGTGGCAAAGTAGGGACATTTCAGACCGACGAGAAAAATAAATTCATAAAACAAAGAGTGGCTGGTTATTAATGCTCCTACGAGTTTCTTTAAATTTAATTGGTTTACCGTGACTAACCAGACTAAATTTTATTATAGACCGCCGTTCTTGAATATCATTTTATAGCACTTTCGATTTAAATTTTTAGTGACGCTCAGCAGAGTTGTAAATCAAAACGAGACGTTTAGATTTAAACGATTTTTTTTGTGATTTTTACAACCTAACCTACATAAAGGGTATTGTAATATTCCACGAATTCCACGCCTAATCCAAATTTTCTTACATTCGTCAATTCTTAACAGTTGACCTCAATAAAAAATACAATTACTTGAACATTCGGTACGAAATAATAATAAGGCGTAGGTATATAGTGAGTAGCTTATATTCAAATGGAAATCACGTTAACATTAATTTGTGCAAAATCAATGCCTAAGGATGCCAAATACTTTACAAATATGATTTCGTCCTGGAATTGGAACAATTTTTGATTCTCCGATATGATGGTCAATCTGGGCATATGAATTTTTTCGTCATTACATGTCACATTGCTACAAGCTCCACAAAACTCCAAAGATTGTTTTAAACATAAAATAAATTTCAAAAGGAGAAAATTATGGGCGTAGCCATTACCACCGTAAATCGGTGGTAATGGCGTAGGCTCCCTGGATGGCCTGTCTGAAATTGACGCCAAAAATTAGGGGCTCGAAAATGGTTACCCCATTTTATCAAAATCAATATTCGTTTACAGGATACCCCTACCGTTTTGGAAAAATCCAAATTAACTTCCTCAGAGCAACAAATAAATGTTGAATAAATCCATAAACTCTGAATCTAATCTACCTTCTTCTGAAAGCAATGTACCAAAACTTGTTTACTTTATTCTCGTATACCCCTGCCGTTTTGGAAAAATCCGATTCCCAATAATCCAAGTCACGAAAGAACAAAAAAATGCATTTAAAAAGTCAGTACAACAAAAGAGCCTGTAATCCACCAAACAATAATTAATTAGCAGCCTAAAATACAAAAAGAATTAGTTTCATTGGTTTTTTTACCATGTACGAGTATATCACAATATGATATCTTACATTGTTAAAAAGAGAATAAAACATTTTATTTAATCAAGTAAAATTTCACAAAACAAGGTTGATATGCATCTTTTCATTTTGGATTTCGTTTTGGCCTCATTTTGGACGTTGTCCTATAACAGTGAGACGATTTTATATTCAACTTTTTTCTAAACTTCTTTAAATTTTAGTCATCAGCACACGAAATTGCAAAAATTTCTCTTCACTGATTCAAAATAACCCATGCAATCCCGCACAATCTGGGACACCCTGTATAACAAGGTGGAAACAACTAAGAAGTATTTCTAGACCATTCCAGATTACATTGAGAACACTTTAGACCCTTTACAAAGTAATGAAGGCCCGTCTAGCTTTAATAAAGATTCCGAAAGGACCTAAAAGGCAACCCGAAAACTTTGGAAAGGGCGTAAGGAGTCTCGACTCTGGAAAACCTTTTAAAAACTTTTCAGAGCTTCATACGTGTTATTACAAAATTGTTAATTTTATGTAACTTTTGTTCATTTGAAAGACCTGCTGTTTGGGTTTTTTTCACTGAATTCTTTGCATTTTTGTGAAGTTTCATCACTTATTTGAATTTCGCAAATTTCCGAATTTTTTAATGTTTTTTCCCAAAGCCAATTTTGTTAATTTTTTTTTCATTCAAGCAACATATCGAAATTGCGAAAATGTAATCTCTCTTTTTATTATCGTGTATTGTCTTGGGCACTCAGCCAAGAGATACTTATTAGACAAGCGAACGGGTGGTGCGGTCGGGTGAACCGACAGACAAGTGGAAAACATGATTTCCGAAGAAAGTTCTTACAAGTCCCTTTTCGAAAGCGGGTATGGCAAATTCGAAACTAAATATGGTAAATTGCTAAAGAAGATAAACACACAGATTTTGCGAAAGTGATAGGGATGTAATAGTTTAGGGATTTTTTTCAAAATGTAGGTATCTGGTGCTTTCATGAAATTGGCTGTCATCTTTCGGAAACCGTTTTTTTCGAAAACAGTAGAGTAGTCGCGTCCATGAAGGTTTTTCTCTGGAAGTCCCCGAAAACAGCTCTGATTTTGAGTATCCTTTTTTTAATTTTTGTTTTTTATATTGGTTAAGATCAGAAAAGTAGCAGCGTAGGTCATATAATAGGTCATTAGAAAGGTTATTTTTTCTCTTTCTTTTAACCATAACTATGAATGGTGTTAAATTAGAAAAAAATGGAGAAAAAACTATGTCAATTGGTCCATATTTCACAAAATTAAGATTTATATATATAGTTGTAAGGAAACAATCCATATGTACTCTGTTTTTAGCACTTATTAAACACCTTCTCATGCTTTTTTGTTAGTTTTTGACGTCCTGTTAATTTAAACGGTTGCAACTCACTATTCGTCTGCGTCGCTGTATTTATCTATGTAAATTGTTTATAAAAACATTGTTCTCAAAGAACAGTGCCCAGTAACATAATGCAGAAGGTATTTTTGTATCTTTTATTAGTAATCGTATATTATACACGGTGGCCCACTGAAAACAGTCAATGCTAATTTTGCCGACTTAACGACAGTTTTGCCAGAAACGCTCGAACACGTCAATTTTAGTTTTGAGGGAGACACCTAAATTAAGTAATACTACTTACGTAACTTTAACTCTGAGAAGGGGGTGAATTGCACCCCAAAAATTTTAAATGGGAAGGGGTAGTAAATGTTAGATAGGTCAAAAGGAATGTTCATTATGTTGTTAGAACTGTTTATATTTTCAAATCCGATCAGTAGTTCCAGAGAAAACTCGATTTAAATGGATTTGCAGAGCCTTTTTAAATGTTTATTAAGTAGTATTAACTAAAAATCTTGAAAACTGTAGTAGTTAAGTCCTCCTTCAACCGACGCAAAAAAGGTTTTCGGCACTTTTCCAATTTTATATCCATTGGCGAGAATTGGTAATGATGGTAACGAAACAGCGAAATTTATTGCTAGGTTAGTAGTACAACATTAAAATACAATTTAATTTTGCATTTCCATTTTATTTAAAGCGAATGAAGGTGTTATAGGTAACGCTAGCTTTTGGAAGATATAGGATGCAATGGTAGCTACAGCATAAAACAGTCCCTTTTGATTATTGAAAGATGTTACATAATGTAATAATAATAGGGTTAGAAAAGCACAAGCAGCGGACTAGCGCAACCTTTTTTTGTCGACCAAACAAATCAATTCTGATCGTTTCAGAAAGCCATAAAAAAGACGTAGTATAGGTATATAAAAATAATTGCAAGCAAAAAAAAAACAAGTACTAATGTTCAAAAACCAACCATAAAACCATATTAATGTGAAACATTACTGTTTCCGATTTTATTGCCTCAATAAAATATTCAACCTCAAACGTTACATATTAAGTCACGCATTGTTTATAAAATTGGTAAGTAGGTACTAGATCATTCAGACAAAGAATGGCCAAATCGAACATAAAATGCATGCATTGAATATTTATTGTAAAAAAACACTTACTGCGTCCTTAACGTAAATGCGGCGGAAGTAATCGAAGAAGGTAAGCGAAGTCCCTTAATGATTTCCTGCCATAGTTTTTTGTTAATTACATCGACTAGTCCTCCTCTCGCTATCACTAAATTGTACAATTCGTAAAGGTCCAATACCGCTTTCGCCATAATTGGTAATCTATTAATCGGCGTGCCTGCAAAAAGGAAATCGCATTAGAATAGGTAAATAATAGATCGAGACAGTTTGTCAGCAAATGATTCAGTTATGAATAATTTGGCCTAAATCCAACAAACCATCTTGTTGTTATGACGTTTCACGTTACACGATTAGTATTGAGAATACAACAGAATTAGAAAAATATTGTAGGGGCATAAGCCTGGATTTAGCCAACGAAAATAATTTATCCTTTTAACAGCTCGACGACGTTGATTTAATACATATTTCATCGCCCGCTTGCTAAACAGTAAAAAATGTTAAATGTTTTTGACACATTTTAAAAACCAAAATGTTTATGTAACCAAGCGAATTATCGTATTTGTAAATAACTTCCTAATGTTCGAAGTATCCTGTTCCAACTTTTATGGAAGGACAGTTAAGAATTACTTTCATTCACGTTTCCCACATTAATCCATCCATTTAACGCCAGAATATTAAGAAAAAATAATTGGGATGCTTATTGCGTTCCAGAAAAGTTAGAGCATCGTTGAGTGTGAACGATGTGGGAGATGCGTTCGTTTATCAACAACCCCCGTAACTCATTATAATCTGAATAGGGTTTTATAAGTTTTACAATCAGTGATACTTCTCCTACAGTTGTAAAAAGTATTTATTATCTACAAACATGTACAGGGTGGTTCAAATTTGTGGCTACGTAACGGTGAGCTTATATGACTAAAAAAACGCTTTTGAAATTTTTGAAAAATCTTTGGAAATAACATATATCACCGAAAAACTGAAAATGTTAAATTTTGTTTTCATCTTAGCTAGCTTAAACGGCCGGAAATGGACGGTTCCCGTTAGCGCTTTTTTTTTCGAAGAATCTGTAATCAGAATTTCCATAGCACACTAGATGTAGAAGCTACTATACTTTCTTATTTCTTATGGGCGCCATATTGGATTTTTACGGAATAAAAAAAGAAAAATAATGACTTTGTCACACTATATACTTTTACATAAATTTACAAGGAAACTTTCAAAATCAAAAGTTTTACATTAATTTCTCAACAAATTAACCACCGGGTAACTAGATCTTGCTGAATCAACATGGCTATGACTGCGATCCATTTAAATGGATTTTTGTTGTCATTCCGTAAAAATCCAAGAGGTATGATGTCCATAAGAAATAAGAAAGTAGCATGTAAACTGCCCATTTCCCACCGTTTAAGCTAGGAAAAGTGAAGACGAAATTTGTCATTTTCAGTTTTTCGGTGATATCTCAGTTATTTTCAAGGATTTTTCAAAAATTTCAAATGCGTTTTTTTATCAGAAAAAGGGACAACTTTGCCCTCACTTAACCTACACTGTATCCTTCTGGATTACGGAGATTCCAATGATAAGTTACGAATTTGAAAACCAGTCAGTTTTTACCGCCGTTCATAGTAGAAAACAGAAAGAGAAAACGACACTGAAATGTTTTCAGTACGCGTTTTTCCCGTTCAAATTTTCCAAATCTAATATTTTTTTCTGGTAACATTTCAAATTACGACATCGTGCCATAACCGGATAAGCTTTTAGGATCGCACTGCTCGGTATTCGGTTGAGAATCCCAATTTACCATTTTCTCAGATTTTCGTCTCGACGTCTTTCATCATATTATAATCAGCAGAGAACATCTACTTTTGTAAATTGTTTAAAAAAGATTTTTGTATTTAATTGTAAAACGTGAAATTGCGTGTTAAAATGTAGGGACATCTGGTCGTTTGCGATAAGGAGTTTTTCGGACGAAAATCCATTAACGTACGTGTTCTTACGTCTGTTAAAAGGTATTTCGAAGAATTGCACGTTCTTTTCGGCGTAAGTGGGATGCGGGACGCGTTTCTTCAAAGCTAGCGTTATCAAGTCCGTTGTGAATGGAGAGCTATTTGAAATTTTGTAAAGGAAGGAGTTTATTTAATGGTAGAGGTGGTGTTCCTTTAAATACTGGAGGTAACGAGAAAGCGCGGCTGCTGCTAGCTGTTAGTTTTCGCAACGGCAAAAAAAGCGTGTATTATTGTTAACGCCAACCACTCGAGCATTTTGCCCCTATTTCTTTAATTGAATCAGTTCGTCGGTTTCGAAATAAAGTGTGTAGAAGCAGTTAAGCAACCTCAATAAAAATATTTATTGGAGTTTACGCATACAGTTACTCCAAAATTAGGCAATTTAAAAAAAAATTTGTAAGTAATTCTAAGACTTTTTTATCGCCTGCGTGCGAGGTATTATGTTCAAGCAAGCTTTGTACGCTTTTCTTTCATAGGTGAATTTTGTTTTAATTTTATTGTTTAATGTGTTAGGGTATAAATGTTTGTCATTGTCAATAAATTAATTGTGCCGTGATGTAGTTTTCATATCAAAATTTTTTTACTCGTGTCCTTTGAGTCGAAGCCACCGAGTCAAGTGATCCATGAAAGTACCCGATTGTGATGTCATGGGCTGATATGCCAATGGCATGAATGGCACACCGAACGGTGATCGTAAGAAGCTTTTTTGTCAACTACTCGAGATACAGCGCCTCAGTCTCTAGTGTTTATCATGTGTAGTCACTAATTCAACGATGTCCAAATAAAATGGGGCAGATGTTCAAAAGGGGTAGGGTGGTGGAGGGAGAGAATGCCTTCTAGCTTTCATGGTATAATCAATGATGTTAACGAAAGGAATGGTCATCCAATAAATCTCACCTCCTCCGACAATTCGGATCTGTCAGAATTCTTTATATATTGTTATGTAAACAACGTCACGCAGGCATTTTGTTTGGTCTCGGCACTTATAATAGTAATGGATCACCCTCTATGTGGAATATCATTTTCGAGTAAATTTGGTTAATGGGTTTGAATTAAACACGGATTTCGTTCCTTTTTAGTGAATTTGGAGTTCAACCTTGTTTTGTATGGGAATTGTTGAATGTTTTGTTTATTTTATTGTAGAAGTCGAATGACGTGTTAAAAAGTAGGAACATCTGGTCTTTGAGATAAGAATATTTGTTATCGCGTTACGTAAGGTGAAATTTAATTAGATAAGCGCGCGTGATCGCCGATAAGAAAACATTCGGTTGGCGACACCGCAGAGAGACCGCATTTCGAGCTTTAAGAAACTTTAAACCGCGTGACAAAATTTACAGCGGAATGTAACTTTTGGCCGCTCAAAGTCAAAACACCAGTTTGAAAACAATCGGACCAAAACTATACAAGAAGAAGACGAAGAAATGAAAAATTACCACGTTAGTAAACAACGCTCGGGGATGGCGCCCAGATATCGCCAACCCTACATCGTGGATCCCCGTTCCTAAAATTGTTAATTACACGGCCCCGGTAGGTACACGTACATTCCTCGTCTTTCCACAAGCGTTCTTCCACCAACCCTCATTTGCTGCTAGCCAGTAATCAGCCAAAAGTGAGATGAAATTATAATAAATTTGCAAAAATGCGCTAAAAACTCAGTAGTAAGTTCAACACAGAAATTAATTTATATTATTAAATCAAATACAACTATAGCGATATCCTAAATTTAAAAAAAGGTGTCATAACCTTACAGCCTAAAATTATTCGCACTGTTCTTGATTCTTGTAACAAAAAGTAAGATAAATAATGTAATTAATTATGTCAATAGATTAATTTTTTACGAAAAATAATTAACATGATACCGATCGCTAGTATAATTAATCTTTTCCTCGGAATCAGTACACCATATTTGATTATTTTGATTTGGCCTTGTTCCAGCACGAAATATGATGTAATGACCCTGCCTTTATAACTTGTTCTGATCAACACAAAAAAAATAAATTTCAAAATAAAACTAAGAAACACAGTAGCAAAAATTGTTGATTCTTCTCTGTTGAATTATACTGGGTTTTCAGTTTTGTTTACATTATGGTTTTCCATTTCATCAACCTAATTAATTCATTGTACGATTTGTGGTAAATTGTGACAATGCAGAGAACATTCTAGAATCATTTACTCTGTTATGCATATATGCAAATAATCCATGGCTTAGTCTATACACAATTGTAAAAACGGCACTGTATGAGAAATTGGCTGAGGACACATAAAACACAAAGAAGTAATGAAAATTGGAGCCGATCATTTATTTAACGTCATGCATCAGGGGGAAGCGATTGAAACGAACAGTGCAAATGTCCAGTATTCCCGACCAGGCTGCAACTATTTACTTTTGTTTCTACCACTACAACCGTGTCAATAAGTGAATGAGTTAAAGAAAATAAAAGAACCCGAGTTCCGTTCGCGATTTAGTTCCAGCTTGCAGACTTCACCTTACTGGTTTAATTCATAAATGTCACCATGTAAGTTATTGTTTCAATGTGTTTTCCAACAGTGTAAGTGTTTCTTTTACGACCCCCGCCTGTCGGAATGCACATGAAAAGAACATTTATGTTTTATGTATCATTATTTTGTAGCTATGTCGGTCCGTTCGTCTCAATATCATTTGATCAAAGGCGTCTGACATTGTAGCGATTGTCTCGGCTTTGATGTTAAGGTCTAAAGTGTCTTGTTGTCTTGTAAAATATCTGGTCGGGTCGTAAAAAAGTTAACTAATTACGAAATTATTATTACTCGGTGATGATTGTCAGTACGGTCTTATGAATTTAATTGGATTTTGCTTGAGGTACCTACTCGAGTACGGTTTTGTGATGGAACACATTTGTCTCAGAAAGCACCATCAAAATAATTACGGTTACAAAAATAGATCCACGATACATAATTTGCATGCATTGCTAAATCAAGCTCGGTGATGGTAAAAAAAAAGAGAATATTCTTCTTTGTATAATAAAAATCATTAATAATTAGCGCGGAGCTTCCTTTGCCAGTTGCCACGTGTCCAATTGTAGACATTGAGTAAATAAAAACTATTTATAAATGATAGAATTTTTATGTCACCTTTTCTAATTTGATCATGTGATAGTAATCAGTCATAGTCCATCACTCAAGATGATCCTTCTATATATTACGCATGTGATCTAAATCTACTCTTGATTTCTTT